CGCTGTAGTTCTAAGGGTGACGTCACATCACAATGTTTACCAACAAAGCAAGATGGCATCGATAACGCCAAAAAAGATTACTTCTGTGGCTTGTTTTTGTTGTTTTAAAACAAACACGAGCAGGTCAATCAGATTAGATGGTAAAAAATGTACTTCTGAAAGAATTCAGAGTAAACAAACAGAAAAAAACCGTCAAATCGATGGTCACACGTGCGTTGTTTACATCGAACGTAGTAATATGAACTGGTACGGGCAAAATTATATCGTTTTACCCATTTTACGCCTCCGCGTACTATTTTCTGTACCTATTTACGCTAAATATGGAATATTTTTTATCAAGATATACTTCAAACACCTTTATTTATTTTTCTAATACTAAAAAAAAATGTTTCAGAATTTAATTTGTCGAAAGAAAAAAGTTAATATTTTGTAGTCATTAAGTCGTATCGATGTCATCCTTATCAGTGATTGTAGAGGCCAAGCGAATATTCACTGCGGATCAGTGTGTGTTATATAGTATAATGAATTGAGGCTGGGTAGTTCGAGAAGAAAATGTCACACGGAGAATTCTGTTTTGTTTATAAAATTTATTTGATATTTTATATACGTTGAAAGCGTTGAGAAATGTGGATAAATCTTTGTGTCAATATCCAAAATGACAGGCATGTTAATGATTCGCAGTTACTGCGAATCAAAAACGTTAGATTTTAATTTTTGATTAGCAACGGACAAAATATGTATCGCAAATTGCGCTGCGATACTGGTTGTCGGCAGCCCTGGATGTAAAGCTTTTCAAATGTGACTTGGATTTAAAAATATTTTTGAACCCTCTGGACAAGTTAAATAGGATTTAATGGATAATTTACACAACAGGTAGGACACTGACACATCTAGTACTTAGAATAAGGCTATTTTTTATTTTCTGGAGCTGTCAAGCCAGCAAGAGTGTTATTGTCCCTTTAAAAGAGTATGATGGTGAGGAAGACAGGAGTACAATCTACTCATTTTATTGTATGGTTCATTTTCTTCTGGGCTACCATTCCTATACAGTGAAACATCTAAACCGTATTCAGAAAGAATTAGAAGATAAGGGAATTAAACTGGAAGAGACCAGACAGTTTTATACAGACGAGAAATCGCAGGAGTGCGGACTGTTCGATTTATTTCTGATTTATTGGGGCCTGTTCCTGATGAGAAGAATGGTTTAAGAGAACGATGGTTAGCATACTGTAGAATCCAAAACATCAAGTCTTTAATTGGAAGTTATAGTTATAAAGACAACAGATTTAATTGTCTCTTTGAAACATCTGCTCAAGTGCTATTCCACAGGAAAGACATACTTAACTTCTTCAGTGATCTTCAAACTACAAACTTGAAGGTAAAGTCTGCAAATCTCGATCTGATGGATGGTAAAATAGTCGCTATAATAACTTTGTTGGCTTCAGTTTATTTCAAGATCTGTGGTCCATACTGGGATGCTATGACTAGTGGACACTGCAACTACCTCTCATTACATGAGTGTTCAACCAATGTACCAGAAAATAATGTTATTGGTGAAAGATCCACTGAGCATCTTGAATGTAAATGATGATCCTTTGTTTGAAGATTTTCCTGACAAAAGAAAGACAACAACGTAGTGTTATTGCCAAACTCAGATGTGTTCTCCCCCTTGCCATAGAAACTGGTCGTTACTGTAAGCCCCCCATTCCTTTAAAAGATCGTATCTGCCCTCTTTGTAATATAGAAATTGAAAACTAAATTCATTTTTTAATTAATTGTGAATTTTTAGATGATATTCGATACAAACTTCTTAATGCCCTCAATTTTGATGATTTTATAAATTCTGATTCTATGAACAAGTTTTTAACCATCATGATGTCTTCAGAAAATATTCCTTTAATTGCTAATTGTATTTTAAATATGCTCAAAACTAGACGATTTTACTTGTAAATATATCAATGACTTTTAATTTAATGTATTTAGTCCGTTCAAAGATACTGTTGACTTTTGTCTTAATGTACATATTTTTTTTTTTTTTAGATCGTGTCTCATAAGTCGATAACGGCTGGGTATTATTCATCACTTTTATTGTAATTGTATGTTTGTATGTATATTTTGGATGTAATACGTGACACGTAAATAAAATAAATAATTATTATATTATTATTATTATTATATATCTATTAGTTGGTCCGAGTGGTCATGCATTCGTACAAAAGAATGGAATCATTCAGAAAGTGTAGGCTACTCAAAATAACGGAGTGAAGGTAAGAATTACATGTAACACACTCATGGACATTGTATAAAAATATGACATGCGCATGTAATGTAAACGTATGTGTGTGTGAAATGGCTTTATTCAATATCCGCTTCCACCGAAATGAATTGGGCCACATTTAAAGTAGATGTATATTGTCACAGTTTGGATTTTATAGCAGCCAATAATTGATGGATTACATCTAAGTTATAGATGAAGATGTAATGATACGTTTTAAAAAATTGTAAGTTGTTTATTGTTGCATACATTTTGGCCGACATTATATGAATGTACAGTGCGTTAGAAAAAAATCCTAACCGATACAGAATGCCGGTAAATGTTTTCCCGAGATTACCTAACTCATTTTGTTGTTATTCAAACCAGCCTGTACATTATACATGTACACGTTTTCGCGGCAGCATTACTGTATTACAACTCCTTCAATTAATTATAGACAATATTATTTCGACCCTAGCTTCTCGCGAATTTCTTGCGGGAAGCATGGCAAAACACGATGTTACGTATCTCGGGAAATTCAACGGCTCGGCTAATAAATAAACACCCTAGATAATTGAACGGGAAGTCCATTTTTAAACGCATCCCAGGAACTTCAACGGCTCGTCCAATAAATGAACGCCATAGATAAGTGCATGGGTAGTCCATTTTTAAACGCATCTCGGAGAATCTAAAGCCGTTGACATTAAACCATAGTACTAATTAAACCATTTTTGTTATTCTTTAACGATTTTTATTAATTATCGAACGGGGTTTTGAAATTAAACGGTATGAATAGTAACCAACGCTAAAAAACCCATATTAACATATTTGTAGTGTTAGTTATCCTTTTAATATCAATTTTATTGAAAAATAAAACATTTGTACAGTGCCTTATTTATTAAATTTTTGTTATTAATGTTAATTAAGCGATCACCGAAGTCAATATTTCTGACTCTAGCCACGCCCCTTTTTACACGTCCATATATGGAATCTCTAATTAAAAAAAATTAATTTTTCAGAAAATTTTACCTAGGTAGCATATTTTCATCACCAATGGTCAAAATCTAGACACACAATATTAGATTTAAACTATGGACCAAATTTTAACAAAAACACACGGGAAAAATTACATGTTTTCCCTTCTTTAATTACAGTATCATTTTTGTACAAAAATATCAAAATCTGACATCTTAATTTTATCATAACTTTTTAAATAATTTTTCAATTTTCATAATTCAAAAAGAATTGAGATCCATGTAGTAGCCCCTAAATAAATACATACATTAAAATGCTGTTAATCAAAGTTGAAATTTTGATGTGGTAATGCTGTTATTATTAAACTTTACATATGGGACCTTACCGGATTGTATTATTCTCATATTCAGACTTAAGACTCGCTACCACTCAGTGATGTGATATATTTAAAGTAGCAACAGTATTGTTGTCCCCCGCCTTTCGAAGAAAGCAGGGGACTATTAAAATGGGTTCGTCCGTCTGTCTGTCTGTCTGTCTGTCTGTCCGTCTGTCTGTCCTTCTGTCTGTCCGTCTGTCTGTCCGTCACACTTTTTGGGACACAATAACTCTCTTCCTAATTGAGCTAGAATGTTCAAACTTGGTGTATGTGTTTATTAGGTCAATGCCTTGATGGAGTTCGAAGATGAGCATTTTCCGCTTAGGGTAAGCAGAGATAAGCAATTTGATTGGTTGATGCTTTGGGACACGATAACTCTCTTCCTAATTGGGCTAGAATGTTCAAACTTGGTGTATGTGTTGATTAGGTCAATGCCTTGATGGAGTTCGAAGATGAGCATTTTCCGCTTAGGGTAAGCAGAGATAAGCAATTTGATTGGTTGATGCTTTGTGACACGATAACTTTTAATTGAGCTAGAATGTTCAAACTTGGTGTATGTGTTTATTAGGTCAATGCCTTGATGGAGTTCGAAGATGAGCATTTTCCGCTTAGGGTAAGCAGAGATAAGCAATTTGATTGGTTGATACTTTGGGGCACGATAACTCTCTTCCTAATTGAGCTAGAATGTTCAAACTTGGTGTATGTGTTGATTAGGTCAATGCCTTGATGGAGTTCGAAGATGAGCATTTTCCGCTTAGGGTAAGCAGAGATAAGCAATTTGATTGGTTGATGCTTTGGGACACGATAACTTTAGTTCTAATTAAGTGAGATTGATGAAACTTGGTGTATAGTTTCATTACAGTAATACCTTGACCAAGTTTGATAATGAGCATTTTCTGCTCAGGGTAAGCAGAGCGATACGCAATTTGATTGGTCGAGACTTTGGAAAACAATAACTCTCCTACTTTGATTGTTAGACTATAAGTAAAGATATACTGTTTGATTGTTCAATACTTTGTAAAAGATAATTTGTGATAAATTTATATGTGTCCTCTAATTATTTTCCTATTTCGGCGGGGGACATCAGCCTCACTGTTGGCTTGTTAATTATGAAAACAAACCGCATTCATACTTTGCATGAAGTTATTTTACAAGCCTCTGCATTTCTCAAATATATCATATAAAACTCTTAAATTAGTTGGCAACTAAACTAAAGTTTGTTTTCAGTAAGCGACACTATTGAGAGTTGGCACTATTTGATAGCTGTATTGCAAGTACAAAGGCTGAAACTTTTAAACTAATTTCATATTTAGCATTTAGTACCAAAAAACTGATTAATTACAACAAATTATTCCGACTTTTATTGAGACTTTTATTTTGATGTCTTACTTATAGACAAACGTCAAGTATTACATCATCATCCTGATAAACGTAAAGCTAGAGGTTTAAATGTGAAGGAAGGAGATGATGATTATTTTACATGTATAACAAGAGGTAAGTATATATAGACTATATAACATGATTTATTTATTGTTACTATCAATTTTCTTCCTATAGTAATAGAAATACTGTGAATAAAAGATGAATCATTATTTGTTTTATAGATTTTCTGAAAATTAGAATTTATTGGCATTTTACAAATGTTGATGTTCAAATTCGGGGCCCCCTTCAAAAGTTGAAGTTATTCTACCCATGTATGAACATATTTTTATACACCCACATTTTCATGTGGACATATATTGCCGTCGCCCCTGTCCGTCCATCAACAATTGTTTGTGGACACTCTAAAGGTAATAATTCTTATCCGATTTTGACGAAACTTGAAATATAGGTTTATCTCCAAAAGATCTCGGTTGCTTTCGATATTGACATGTGTCGGACCGAAACTTCATGGATTATGGCCCCTGATTGTACGAAAAATCACATTTTTACCTTGTGGACCCTATAGAGGTCACAATTTTTATAGGCCCACATTTTCATGTGGACGTACATTGTCGTCGCCCCTGTCCATCTGTCCACAATTGTTTGTGAACAGTCTACAGGTCACAATTTTTATCCGATTTCAATGAAATTTGAAATATAGGTTTATCACCCTAAGATCTCGGTTCCTTTCGATATTGGCATGTATCGGACTGTAACTTCATGGATTATGGCCCCTGATTGTACGAAAAATCACGTTTTAAGGTTGTGAACACTGTAGAGGTCACAAATTTTATCCAATTTGGTTTAAACTTGAAATGTATGATTAAAACCCAAAGATCTTGGTTCCTTTCGATATTCGCGTATATCGGAAAGTAACTTTCTGAATTATGGCCCCTGATTTTACGAAAAATCGCATTTTTAGCTTGTGGAGCCTATAGAGGTCATAATTTTTATCCGATTTAAAAAAACGTATTATTATATCACTGTTACACCCTAAGGATGACCAAGTTCGAATTTCGTGAAAATCAGCCCAAAACTGACAGACAAAATGGCCGCCCTTCGTACTCAAGTAGCATAAAAATATGGTATATCAAGGTTGTGGACACTACAGAGGTCACAATTTTTATACGCCCACATTTTCATGTGGACGTATATTGTTGTCGTCCCTGTCCGTCCGTCCACAATTTGTTTGTGGACACACTGCAGGTCGCAATTCTTATCCGATTTTGGCAAAACTTGAAATATGGGTTTATCTCCAAAAGATCTTGGCTTCTTTCGATAATGGCATGTATCGGATCGAAACTTCATGGATTATGGCCCCTGTTTGTACGAAAAATCACGTTTTTAGCTTGTGGACCCTATAGAGGTCACAGTTTTTATCCAATTTTGTTGAAATGTAAGTTTATAACCAAAGATCTCGATTCTTTTCGATATTCGCGCATATCGGACCATAACTTCCTGAATTATGGCCCCTGATTGTACGAAAAATCGCGTTTTTAGCTTGTGGACCCTATAGTGGTCATAATTTTTATCCGATTTAAAAAAACGTATTGTTATATCACTGTTACACCCTAAGGATGGCTGAGTTCGAATTTCGTGAAAATCAACCCAAAACTGGACAAAATGGCCGCCCTTCGTTCTCAAATAGTGTAAAAATATGGTATATCAAGGTTGTGGACCCTATAGAGGTCACAATTTTTATCCGATTTTGTTGAAACTCGAAATGTAAGTTTATAACCCAAAGATCTTGGTTCCTTTCGATATTCGCCCATATCGGACCGTAACTTCTGAATTATGGCCCCTGATTGTACGAAAAATCGCCTTTTTAGCTTGTGGACCCTATAGAGGTCATAATTTTATCCAATTTAAAAAACTGTATTATTATATCACTGTTACACCCTAAGGACGACTAAATTCGAATTTCGTGATAATCAACCCAAAATTGACAGACAAAATGGCCGCCATTCGTTCTCAAATAGCGTAAAAATATGGTATATCAAGGTTGTTGACCCTATAGAGGTCACAATTTTTATCCGATTTTGTTCAAACTTGAAATTTAAGTTTATAACCCAAAGATCTCGGTTCCTTTCGATATTCGGGCTTATCGGACCGTAACTTCCTGAATTATGGCCCCTGATTGTACGAAAAATCGCATTTTTAGCTTGTGGACCCTATAGAGGTCATAATGTTATCCAATTTAAAAAACTGTATTATTATATCACTGTTCCACCCTAAGGACGACTGAATTCGAATTTCGTGATAATCAACCCGAAATCGACAGACAAAATATGGTATATCAAGGTTGTGGACCCTATAGAGGTCACAATTTTTATCCGATTTTGTTCAAACTTGAAATGTAAGTTTATAACCCAAAGATCTCTGTTCCTTTCGATATTCGGGCTTATCGGACCGTAACTTCCTGAATTATGGCCCCTGATTGTACGAAAAATCGCATTTTTAGCTTGTGGACCCTATAGAGGTCATAATGTTATCCAATTTAAAAAACTGTATTATTATATCACTGTTCCACCCTAAGGACGACTGAATTCGAATTTCGTGATAATCAACCCGAAATCGACAGACAAAATAGCCGCCATTCGTTCTCAAATAGCGTAAAAATATGATATATCAAGGTTGTTGACCCTATAGACGTCACAATTTTTATCTGATTTTGTTGAAACTTGAAATGTAAGTTTATAACACAAAGATCTCAGTTCCTTTGATATTCGCGCATATTGAATTGTAATTTCCTGAATTATGGCCCTTCATAGTAGGAAAAATCACTTTTTTGTTAGCTTGTTCTCGATCCATCTCTCGAAAATGTGGGCGTATCCTGCCTGGCAGCCGCTGGTTATCCAATTTAAAAAAACGTTTTAGTTTATCACTGTTACACCCTAAGGACGGCTGAGTTCGCATTTTGTGAAAATCAGCCCAAAACTGACAGGCAAAATGGCAGCTACACGTTCTACAATAGCGTAAAAATATGGTATATCAAAGTTGTGGACCGTATAGAGGTCACAATTTTGATCCGATTTTGTTGATACTTGAAATGTAAGTTTATAACCCAAAGATCTCGGTTTCTTTCAATATTTGTGCATATCGAATTGTAATTTCCTGAATTATGGCCCTTGATTGTAGGAAAAAAAACTTTCTTTTAAGCTTGTTCTCTATCGATCTCTCGAAAATGTGGGCGTATCCTGCCTGGCAGCCGCTGGTTATCCGATTTTGTTGAAACTTGAAATGTAAGTTTATAACACAAAGATCTCGGTACCTTTCAATATTTGCGCATATCGGACAGTAACTTTCTGAATTATGGCCCCTGATTGTACGAAAAATCGCGTGTTTAGCTTGTGGACCCTATAGAGGTCATAATTTTTATCTGATTTAAAAAAAGGTATTATTATATTACCGTTACACCCTAAGGACGACTAAGTTTGAATTTCGTGAAAATCAGCTCAAAACTGACAGACAAAATGGCCGCCCTTCGTTCTCAAATAGTGTAAAAATATGGTATATCAAGGTTGTGGACCCTATAGAGGTCGCAATTTTAATTTGATTTTGATGAAATTGGAAATGTAAGTTTATAACCCAAAGATCTCGGTTCCTTTCAATATTTGCTCTTATCGAATCGTAATTTCCTGAATTATGGCCCTTGATAGTAGGAAAGATCGCATTTTTAGCTTGTGGTCCCTATAGAGGTGATAATTTTTATCCGATTTAAAAAAAACGTTTTAGTATATCACCGTTACACCCTAAGGACAGCTGCGTTCGAATTTCGTGAAAATCGTCCCAAAACTGACAGAGAAAATAGCCGCCCCTCTTTCTCAAATATTTGCGGATATCGAATTGTAATTTCCTTGATTGTAGGAAAAATCACTTTCTTTTTAGCTTGTTCTCTATCCATCTTTCGAAAATGTGGGCGTATCCTGCCTGGCAGCGGCTGGTCAATGAATTTGTATAACTTGAACAGCTAAATCCATGATATTAAAATTTCGTATACTAAACGTTAGCATGGGGAAGAACTTCATAAAAACCAAACAAATTCTAATGGTTTTCTGATAATTACTTAATGAGTTGTTACTCTTTATAAGATTTTAGTGTATTATAAATGTTTGATTACCCAAAAAAGTAACAATATGCAACAACTCTTGTTGGCTGCCCGGACGATTTAGCTGCTGTGGGCGTATGTTTCGTCGCCAGGCAACAACCTATCTTTAAATTTTCAATTTAACATCACCAATGAACTGAGCAATCCCGAAAACCCTAATATAGAGTCAAGATGAGGTTATACAGGGAAAAATAATGAATATTTTTTATGAAATCTAAATTATCACCCTCAGTTTTACCCCCTCCCCCCATTATCTTCAGGGGGTGTGCACAGGGGGTCAGAAAAAAAAAAATGTTCATACACGGGTAGGGTAACTACAACTTTTGGAGGGGCCCCGAAAAAATTCATATTTAAAGTAGCTAAGTCTCTAACTCAATATCATCCAAAATCTTCAACATTGAAAACACGATTTATTTGTCAAATTAAATCAACATTCATGTTGTGATCTTACCGGAAAAAGATGGGCTTTTGATATCCAATATTTAAGACAAAATAAACATTTTACCATTTGTACACGAATCGTGTACCATAATGGGCTTCAGCCCCAGTTGTATCAAGAGACTTGAGGGACCAGGCTAGACACATTGCACCAAATCAAACGGCGCATGTGGACTGGACTGGAATAACCAGACGCTAGAAATTTGCACTCGCTTGAGACTGAGACTGCTGGCTTATTTCGCCGAACATAACTGATTTGAAATTGGAGTAAAACGGAAACCATTGAATGTAAATCAGTTGATATACATTCATATTACAGTATTATATGCGTTGCGACCCACTTTTGTCAATTTCTAGGTCCCAAATGTTAGCGATTTAGCTCCTTTAACACCTCCCCCCAATTAAATGTCTGTTCATGATTGGAGTTTAGCACTATAACTGTAGTAGGGCCTACATGTATTATTGTTTAAGCTTTCAAATATTTAATGTTTAAGCATGGGAAACTTTGGGTGTTCCTGCTAAAAGAAGATCATTTGACAGTGTAGACCCAGAGTTTGATGATGACGTGCCATCCAACAATGCATTGGCCAAGGAAAAATTCTATAAAGTATTCCGACCCATCTTTGAAATGAATGCAAGGTAAAAAAAAAAACCCAGGTTATTTCATTATTGACTTTAAATGTAATTTTAAAAAAATTTGATATGAACAATGTTCAATGATTTTAAATGCTGTTGTTCAGATTTTATGATCACAAGGTGGTTTTCTGTGAATAAACTGTCACCCAATTAAGCAAATCTAGCGATCATTTCTGAATGGTACAATTGTTTGATTTAAAAATTTCAGACATTTTTCAGAATTTGATCTTTGATATGCCTACCGGTACGCATATCAACCATTATCAGCGGACAGCCCGAGAAATCTAGGACTATGTGTACCAGTATGATGTTTGACTTGCTCTTCCGTCAGCAAGAATTTACATTTAACAAAAGGTCTAGCCCCATACTCCTCACAGTGTTTCGTTTGATTAGAGCTAATCCCACTTAACTCTGCTGTAAAGGAAACAAATGGTTGAGTTTGAATTTTGTAAAAATCTGACCGAAACTGACAGAAGGTTGTGGACCCTCTAGAGGTCACAATTTTTATCCGATTTTGATGAAACTTAAAACATAGCTTTATGTCCCAAAGATCTGTCCCTTTTGATATTTGCACATTTCAGGCCATAACTTTCTGGATTATTGCCCCTGATTGTACAAAAAATCATGTTTGTTTTTAGCTTGTTCTCTATCCATCTCTTGCAAAATGTGGGCGTATCCTGCCTGGCAGCCGCTGGTAATACCTTAAATCACTGTCCAAAGTTTTAGGGAAGACCCCAGATTAAACGAAAGGGATATCTCGGGTCATTGCTTCAGGAATATGGTTCGGCCCAGACTGTCAGTCAGTGAAGAGAAAGAGGGCTGGATTATCAGAAGGCAAATATATGTTTTAAAATTAAAAATGATGATTGGAATACACAAAGCTGATGGATAGTAAAGTTGAATATGATTCTGATTAAATTTATGTTAATTTTTTAGATGGTCAAAGAAACCAAAAGTCCCGGAACTTGGTGATGAAAATACACCTTATGATGATGTTGATGATTTTTATGGATTTTGGTAAGGAATAGTTTTTATATAAGACCAATTTTCAGTAATAGATTTCATTTGTTGGTGAGATTCTAGGAGAACCGTCACGACTATGTTGAAGAATAGTTATTAATTTCAACAAGAAAACAGATCTTATCACTTTTATATGTCCACATTATAATCTGTCTATTGCAGGTCTTTCTTTAGGCCTGAAATGTTATCTAAATTATTGATTAGACATTAATTAACATATCCAGACCATAATCAACTCTCGATGGCATCCCTAGCCTGCGATCTTTAGTGGATTATGAGCCGATTTACTGATTAACTTTCTTTCAAGATTTAATGATTAAGTGGATAATCGAGATAATGCTGTTTATCATACTGACTTTAGTAATGATGATCGAGGCTAGGCGGAAATTTCAACTGCTTAGTTCTCGGTTCATAGTGGATCAATTTGAATGAAATTTTCAGCAATTTGCCTTTACATTACCCAGTTTTTAACTATTATAGTGAGAACTGCCAACTCGTTATCGAATCTCCCATAATGTATCTTTACCATGATATTATATTGTATATAAATCTGCGTATCAAAATATGACTACTCTATACAGTTGCATTTTTATATGCCCACATTTTCATGTGGACGTATATTGTCGTCGCCCCTGTTCGTCTGGACGTCCGTCCGTCCACAATTTGTTTGTGGTCACTCTACAGGTCACAATTCTTATCCGACTTTGACGAAACTTGAAATATAGGTTTATCTCCAAAAGATCTCTGTTCCTTTCGATATTGGCATGTATTGGATCGAAACTTCATGGATTATGGCCCCTGTTTGTACGAAAAATCACGTTTTTAGCTTGTGGACACTATAGAGGTCACAATTTTTATCCGATTTTGTTGAAACTTAAAATCTAAGTTGATAATCCAAAGATCTCAGTTCCTATCGATATTCGCGCAAATCGGATCGTAACTTCCTGAATTATGGCCCCTGATTGTACGAAAAATCGCGTTTTTAGCTTGTGGACCCTAGCCTATAGAGGTCATAATTTTTATTTGATTTAAAAAAACATATTATTATATCACCGTTATACCCTAAGGACGGCTGAGTTCGAATTTCGTGAAAATCGGCCCAAAACTGACAGACAAAATGGCCGCCCTTCGTTCTCAAATAGCGTAAAAATATGGTATATCAAGGTTGTGGACCCTATAGAGGTCCTTGATTGTAGGAAAAATCACTTTCTTTTTAGCTTGTTCTCTATCCATCTCTCGAAAATGTGGAGCTTGCCGGGCAGCCGCTGGTTATCCGATTTTGTTGAAACCTGAAATGTAAGTTTATAACCAAAAGATCTTGGTTCCTTTCGATATTCACGTATATCGGACCGTAACTTCCTGAATTATGGCCCCTGATTGTACGAAAAATCGTGTTTTTAGCTTGTGGACCCTATAGAAGTCATAATTTTTATCCGATTTAAAAAAAAGTATTATTATATCACCGTTACACCCTAAGGACGACTGAGTTCGTATTTCGTGAAAATCGGCCTAAAATTGACAGACAAAATGGTCGCCGTTCGTTCTCAAATAGCGTAAAAATATGGTATATCAAGGTTGTGGACCCTATAGAGGTCACAATTTTTATCCGATTTTGTTGAAACTTGAAATGTAAGTTTGTAACACAAAGATCTCAGCTCCTTTCAATATTCGCGCATATCGAATTGTAATTTCCTGAATTATGGCCCTTGATTGTAGGAAAAATCACTTTCTTGTTAGCTTGTTCTCTATCCATCTCTCGAAAATGTGGGCGTATCCTGTCTGACAGCCGCTGGTTTTTAAATTGAACACTTCAATTCACATAATCGTTTTTTGAGGCAATTTGCCAATATAGCACCCCCGACCGATCGAAAGTTTGTTTTATTGCCGTTTCGATGCTATTAAAATCAACAAAATTGGAGCATGTTAAGTGACCTCGCCGGGCATTTGAAAATGGTATACATCGGAAAATGTTTTGGAAAATAATAACGTAGTTTGGCATGTGATAACGTCATTTCAACACGTGAAGAAAAATATAATTTCAAGTTCCTAAGACCCATATTCACGGTAAATTACGTCTAAATGCAACTCATTGTTCATTTATGAAATAAGCGTTAAATTATATGAATAAATGACTTGCCTGAAAAGACATAATGATAGATAATTCCATTATTTTAATGCATCTCGACAAGGGTCCACAATGTTAACATCACGTGACTCATATTCGCGCGCTTTGGTATGCAATTTATAACAATTATACAATTCATAACATTTAATATCACATTGCTTTTAGATGCCAAAAGCTTTCTTTAAAATGGGTGATCAGTGATCACATGTTTCATTATGGTAAAAACACGTACCATTCAAAATGATATAAAATTGCATTTTTGGGGTTTGTTTTTGGTTTTGGTTGCTGACAACAAAATATATGTTAAATATACAAGAGTAAAGATATGTAATTTTTATACGCCCACATTTTCATGTGGACGTATTATGCCGTCGCCCCTGTCCGTCCGTCCGGACGTCCTTCTGTCCACATTTGTTTGTGGACTCTCTACAGGTCACAATTCTTATCCGATTTTGACGAAACTTGAAATATAGGTTTATCCCCAAAAGATCTCGGCTGCTTTAGACATTGGCATGTATTGGATCGAAACTTCATGGATTATGGCCCGTGATTGTACGAAAAATCACGTTTTTAGCTTGTGGACCCTATAGAGGTTACAATTTTTATCCGATTTTGTTGAAACTTGAAATGTAAGTTTATAACCCAAAGATCTCGGTTCCTTTAGATATTCGTGCATATCGGACCGCAACTTCCTGAATTATGGCTGCCAATCGTTCTCAAATAGCGTAAAAATATGGTATATTCCTGAATTATGGCCCCTGATTGTACGAAAAATCGCGTTTTTAGCTTGTGGACCCTATAGAGGTCATAATTTTTATCCGATTTAAAAAACCGTATTATTATATCACCGTTACACCCTAATGACGGCTGAGTTCGAATTTCATGTAAATCGGCCCAAAATTGACAGACAAAATGGCCACCGTTCGTTCTCAAATAGCGTAAAAATATGGTATATCAAGGTTGTGGACCCTATAGAGGTCACAATTTTTTTCCATTTTGGTTGAAACTTGAAATGTAAGTTTATAACCCAAAGATCTCGGTTGCTTTCGATATTCGCTCAAGATTTGGTTGAAACTTGAAATGTAAGTTTATAACCCAAAGATCTCGGTTGCTTTCGATATTCGCTCATATCGGACCGTAACTTCCTGAATTATGGCCCCTGATTGCACGAAAAATCACGTTTTTAGCTTGTGGACCCTATAGAGGTCATAATTTTTATCCGATTTAAAAAAACGTATTATTATATCACCGTTACACCCTAAGGATGGCTGAGTTCGAATTTCATGTAAATCGGCCCAAAATTGACAGACAAAATGGCCTCCGTTCATTCTCAAATAGCGTAAAAAATATGGTATATCAAGATTGTGGACCCTATAGAGGTCACAATTTTTATCCGATTTTGTTGAAACTTGAAATGTAAGTTTATAACACAAAGATCTCGGTTCCTTTCGATATTTGCATATATCAAATTGTAATTTCCTGAATTATGGCCCTTGATTGTAGGAAATATCACTTTCTTTTTAGCTTGTTCTCTATCCATCTCTCGAAAATGTGGGCGTATCCTGCCTGGCAACCGCTGGTTTATTTTTTAAAATCTTGCCAAATAGCTTCTGATTTTAAATAATACAATTATCAATATTGATGTCATAATTATTGAAAAATAATGCTTTTTTTAAAAAAAAAATATACAGTGGTTGCTATGGTAACCACTCAAACTGCTTAATATTTTGCTCAAACTTATACAATCCATACATTTGACATTATATGGGTTACAAATATTTTAAAATGCTTATTTTTAAATGTGGTGATCACTTTTTGGGTCATGGTAAACAACCAAAATTGATAATATATGGCAGATTAAAAATATGTAATTTTATAAATTCACCAACTTTTTGACATATTCCCACAATTTCACTTGTGTATCTCCATTCGTTCTTATTTTACTAATGTCCCAAAAACGACCCAAAAATAGGCAATTGTGTGCCGCGGAAAATGTTCAAAATCGAACATATATTCAGCTCTTGAGAGAAGGCATATAGATATTTTTACTATTATTTTTTTTCTGTTTATCTTACTTGATAGCTACTGACTTTAAAATGCATAACAACAGGTTCAATATTTCAGATATAACATGGACAAGACCATTTTTAATGAAAAAATTGACCAAAATCACTTTGACAAGTTGCTGGGGAATTCCAGATTCAAAATTGGATGAAAATTATTTTTTTTTATGGAGGCTCAAAGTTGCGATTTTTGACTTTTCGCGGAAGAAAGTTTTTTCAACACGTTGAAAAAGTCATTTTTGTTTTTTTTTGCGATGCCATATTTCATTTCGTATCAAAACTATCAAAAATGCAGATGTAAATTCATGAAATACAACTTTAAGGCTAATCATGTTTCGATTTTCACATTTGTGTAACAATTATTGTAAGAAGAATGATAAGATCTACTTGAAAAACGTTTAAAATCAAATGTATAATCATAATCTCAAAATCACCTTTTTCCACCTACTTACAGCCACAATTCTTATTCGATTGTCTTGAAAACTTTTTGTATACTTATTCCTCATACCCTAAGACTGACCTTTATTATTTATGGTGCATGCCCGACCCCCTGGAACAGAGCCACGCCCATTTTTTCTTTGTGTCTCTGTGTGTTGCCTTCAGGCCACATTTCTTTGAACTTGGGATATGTATTCCTTATAGCCTAAGGACGAAAACTGCATGTCCCGACCCACAGGGGCAGAGCCACGCACAATTTTTATGTTTCATTTACAGGCAGCAATTCTGAATGGATCAACTTGGTACTTGGCATATGTATTCCTTATAGCCTATTGATTTTGGTGAATGCCTGGACCCTAAGGGGCAGAGCCATGCCTAATTTTGTCTTTAGTTTTGGAACTTGGTATACTTATTCTTTATACCCTAAGGACGGCAACTGTTGATGTTGGTGCACGCCCACTTTTTGTTGATATTTTGTCTGTAAATGATATACAGGTTGCAATTATTAACAGATTTGGATTCAATTTGGAATGATACTCTTCAAAAAAAGTAGGGGATATTGAAATGCAAATACCTATGCAGGTTGTGATATGATAAATAGTCATGGACACTTGACATGCTTTGAGAGTATGTTCACAGATGAAGAACTTATCACCCCCACAGAACCACTGAGCTGCATGTGTGACATGCAATAGCGCCATACATGTGGGAGGGGTTCAATGTCAAATTTGACACTTTAAGGAAGGGTTGATGAAAACTGCCGCATGCTGGTTTATCCTATCCATGTTTGCTTTCCTATTGGTTCTTGCATAAGATTTACTGTTTAGCATATCTTGCTTTAGTTTGTTAATTTTATTTGCAATGAGACGTCTTCAACATGATGAACATCTACATGCTGTTGGCATGCTTCAAATGGGTTCTACACAGCGAGCAGTAGCCAACATGCTTAATGTGTCACAGTCTGATCAGCAGACTGTGGAACCGGTACCAACAAACACACAATGTTGATGATACGCCTCGTTCAGGTCGTCCTAGAGCTATTACACAAGTCCAGGATCGATACATTATTACACAGGTCCTGAGAAATTGAGGACAAACGTCCAATCAGCTTTCTGTAAGCTTGTAAAGTTACAGGAATTCGAGTTACACCTCAAACGATTAGAAATTGGCTACATGCAGCCCATTTGCATGCGCGACGATCGCATATTGTGCCTCCATAACTCGCCAGTACATGGCAAACAGACGTCAATGGTGTAGGCAGCGTAGAAATTGGGGTAATCGTCGATGTGCACGTGTAATATTCTCAGATGAGTCCAGATTTACTCTGGATTTCACCGATAGGCGTGCTCGCGTTTGGAGGCGTGTAAATGAGCTTCATGAATGACTACCTCCAGTGTCACCATATTGTCCATATGCCTTGGCCAGCCTTGAGTCGTGACCTTTCCCCTATAGACCATGTCTGGGACATGATCGGGAGACGTGTTCGTCGACGTCAACTGACAACACTGCAAGAATTGGCCGTGGCACTGCAAGAGGAGTGGGTCAGATTGCCTCAAATCGTGATTGGACGGTTGATTAGGAGCATGCCACGACGAATTGCTGAATGTCTGAGGATTGGTGGAGCAATTACTCATTATTAAGACAAAAATCAAAAACGTACATTTTCACTTTTGACAGTGTATCTCTTTGCGAGTGAAATTCAGCCGGCAGATAAGCCGCCCATATGAACTGTTTATGTTCAGGTGTAGGCAATTGGCCTGTTATTAACATACACTGGTTATAAAACTCTAATAAAAACAGCAGTGCATTTCCACAGTTTTGTATAGTTTCTGAATATCTCCTACTTTTTTTTTGAAGAGTATATATTGGTTCATGTCCAACCCCAGAGCCACGCCCAATTTTTTTTTTTTTTGTCTACAGACTGGAATTCTAAATGGATCATCTTGGAACTTGGCATATTTATACCTTATATTGTAATGATAGCAACTATTCATTTTGGTGCATGTCCCGACCCCCAGAGGTGTGGTACCACACCCACTGTTTTGTTAGTTTTTATCGGTAAATACTCTACAGATTTTGTCCAAATTCAGCATATCAGTCATTTCAATAACAGGTTGATACCTATTTATATTGTTCTATATCCAACCCCCAGGTGCAGAGCCACGCCCAATTTTTGTATTTATCGTCTACAGACTGCAATTCTGAATGGATCATCTTGGAACTTTGCATATTTATTCCTTATACCGTAAAGACAGCAACTGTTTATTTTGGTGCATGACCCAACCCCCTGGGGCAGTGTCACACCCACTTTTTTGTTAATATTTTGTCTGTAAATTTGGCAAAACAAACGCCTAGCCTTCTTTGCCTCTTGTCATATTACATCCATTTCTTATTTCATTCTCGTCATTTTAAAAAGTACCATATCAATCAAAACAGGAATGTGGACGCATATTTCAGTGTGAGCGATGCTCTCGTTTATGATAATTAATATATTAAAAGTAACCTGAAATTCACTTATGTTAGTATCAAAAATTCAAGTTCTCACATACTTACAGCTAAGTCTGTTTCTCAACATTTTGTTGAATTGCTTAGATTTTTATCAATTTGGAACACACCAGATTAAAATGTTTAGTCAAATCTACCATGTTTATGCTATTTATTGAATAAAGATGATATATGTATTTTTTCACCAGGTATGATTTTGATTCTTGGAGAGAGTTTTCTTACTTAGATGAAGAAGAAAAGGAAAAGGGAGAAAAGTAAAACACTGATATTACTGTAAACACATAGTTGTAGATAGTCTCGCTCATCCAGAACCCCATAGTCTTCAACCTAAGGAGGGTCTGGGACTGTTGTCAATTTTTGATGAAAAGTTCCATAGCCCATGAGTAACCCGGAGTTTGGTTTTTTATGTGGTTGATTATCCAGTATTATTTGGCCAAGTCAAGTAAGAGTTGCGCCCCTTCCCGAAATAAATCCCATAATTCATGCATTATTTATAAACAAACATGAATCGTGACAACGAAGAATAATTTATTAAAAAACAGAGATGTGGCCCATGAAGAGAGAAATTTTACAATAAATTTTTTATTCACATTTTCATGTGGACATATATTGTCGTCGCCCCTGTCTGTCCGGACCATAACTTCATGGATTATTCCGAGCAGCTATTATTTATTGAGAATGAGGGACCTTCAAAGCCATTCCAGCTTAACAATAAAGTTGTAGGAACCATTTAACCTGTAGTGTTATATATTACGATCACCAAACACAACAAGAAAGTCCGATAGTACTACACAATACGCTGAATAATTTTGTCACGTTTTGAAACGAGGATACCCTACTTCAAGTGCTCAGGGGGCGCAATTATTATTGATATTAACCTGTAGTGTTATATATTACGATCACCAAACACAACAAGAAAGTCCGATAGTACTACACAATACGCTGAATAATTTTGTCACGTTTTGAAACGAGGATACCCTACTTCAAGTGCTCAGGGGGCGCAATTATTATTGATATTATTTTTATACACCCATATTTTCATGTGGAAGTATATTGTTGTTGTGCCTGTCCGTCTGTCTGTCTGTCCACAATTTGTTTGTGGACACTCTACAGGTCACAATCTTTATCTGATCTCCCAAAGATCTCAGTTCCTTTCGATATTGGCATGTATCGGACCATAACTGCATGGATTATGGCCCCTGATTGTATGAAAGATCACGTTTTTAGCTTTTGGACACACTAGAGGCCAAAATTTTGATGAAACTTAAAATGCATGTTTATAACCCAAATATCTTGTTTCCTTTCGATGTTCGGGCCATAAGCAGAAATAAGCAATTTGATTGGTTGATGCTTTGGGACACGATAACTTTAGTTCTAATTAAATGAGAGTGATGAAATTTGGTGTATAGTTTTATTACATCAATACCTTGACTAAGTTCGATAATGATCATTTTCTGCTTAGGCTAAGGAGTGATAAGCAATTTGATTGGTCAAGACTTTGGAACACAACAACTCTGCTTTTAATTGAGGTAGAAGTAGAATGTTTAAACTTGATGTTGATGTTCATTAGGTGAATGTCTTGACTGATTTCAATGATTAACATTTCGAGCTAAAGCTAAGCAGAGCTAAGTAATTTCATTGGTCGATGCTTTGGGACACGATAACATTGATTCTATCTGACACAGATTGTTGAAACTTAGTGTATAGTTGATAATCAGTTTGATTTCTTGAAACTTTTGAAAAAAATAAATGTGTGATTAATTAATGTGTTATTGATTTATTTTGGGATTTCATCGGGGAACATCAGCCTCACTGTTGGCTTGTTTAGCTTGTCCTCTATCCATCTCTTGCAAATTGTGGGTGTATCTTGCCTGGCAGCCACTGGTTCTGGATGATAGAGTCTAAGTTGTAGAATTTACAGACAGACCTCCATGTTGAAAAAAAAAAATAGAAATCATTGAAAAATTGAAACTAAATTGGTTCTAAAGTATTTCTTACTGTTATGGTATCCATTGTTTTCAAATTCCTTTTTATACGCCCACATGGAAATGTGGTCGTATATTGCCGTCACCCCCGTCCGTCCGTCCGTCGTCCACAATTTCTTGTGAACACTCTACAGACTACATTTATCATCGGATTGTTTGGAAATTGATATATTGATTAATTTTTTGATATATATTTAATTTCAATAACTTCTGTTAATTTCGTCTGGAGTTATGGCCCTTGTTTCACTTTGTTGCACCTTGTGAACGCTCTAACGACAAAAGTTATCAACCGATCTGTATGAAATTTATATCCATCATTTAAATTAGTAAAACGAAGAAGCCTATTGAATTTCAGCAATTTCCGTTAATTACATCTAGAGTTATGGCCCTTGTTTCACTTTGTTAAATCTTGTGAAGGCTCTAATGACAACAGTTATCATCCGATCTGTTTGAAATTGATATGCATCATTTAAATTAGTGAAATGAAGAAGCCTATTGAATTTGAGCAATTTCCGTTAATTACGCCGTGAGTTATGGCCCTTGTTTCACTTTGTTGTACCTTGTTTATGCTCTAACGACAAAAGTTATTATCCAATCTGTATGAAATTTATATGCATCATTTAGATTAGTAAAACAAAGAAGCTTATTGAATTTTAGCAATTTCCGTTAATTACATCTAGAGTTATGGCCCTTGTTTCACTTTGTTGATTCTTGTGAATGCTCTAACAACAAAAGTTATCAACCGATCTGTATGAAATTTATATGCATCATTTAAATTAGTAAAACAAAGAAGCCTATTGAATTTCAGCAATTTCCGTTAATTACATCTAGAGTTATGACCCTTGTTTCACTTTGTTGAATCTTGTGAACGCTCTAATGACAACAGTTATCATACGATCTGTTTGAAATTGATATGCATCATTTAAATTAGTGAAACTAAGAATCCTATTAAATTTCAGCAATTTCCTTTAATTACGCCGTGAGTTATGGCCCTTGTTTCACTTTGTTGTACCTTGTTTATGCTCTAACGACAAAAGTTATTATCCGATCTGTATGAAATTTATATGCATCATTTAGATTAGTAAAACAAAGAAGCTTATTGAATTTCAGCAATTTCCGTAATTACTTCTAGAGTTATGGCCCTTGTTTCACTTTGTTGAATCTTTTGAATGCTCTAATGACAACAGTTATCATCCGATCTGTTTGAAATTGATATGCATCATTTAAATTAGTGCAATGAAGATTCCTATTGGATTTCAACAATTTCCGTTAATTACACCGTGAGTAATGGCCCTTTATTCACTTTGTTGTACCTTGTGAATGCTTTAACGACAAAAGTTATTATCCGATCTGTATGAAATTTATAGGTATCGTTTAAATTAGTAAATCAAACAAGCCTATTGAGTTTCAGCAAATTTCCGTTAATTACATCTAGAGTTATGGCCCTTGTTTCACATTGTTGAATCTTGTGAACGCTTGAACGACAAAAGTTATCACCCAATCTGTATGAAATTCATATGCATCATTTAAATTAGTGAAATGAAGAAGCCTATTGAATGTCAGCAATTTCTGTCAATTACTTCTAGAGTTATGGCCCATGTTTTACTTTGTTGAACCTTGTGAACATTGGAACGACAAAAGTTATCATCCGATCTCTATGAAATTGATATGTATTATTTGAATTAGTAAAACGAAAAAGTCTGTCGAATTTCAACAATTTCTGTAGATTACTTCCAGAGTTACAGCCCTTGTTTTAGTTTTTAGAACCTTGTGAACCCTCAAACGACGAAAATTATAATGTAATCTGTATGAAATTGTCTATTAAATGCCCCCTAATTACCTACAAAAGAACAAATATATGACAACTCTTGTCGACCGCTCGGACGAATTAGCTGCTGTGGGCGTATGTTTAGTTGCCTGGCAACCTATCTTTATAAATGTAATGTTTCAATCTCTTTAGTTTTGTTTATGGTTGTACTGGAGTATCCTAAACATGTGCTTATAACATGGATAATCTCTTTAAAAAATACAGTAACAATACTTTGTTCATTATTATAGGTTCATAAACATAAAACAAGATAATGATTGGTTACATTATTTTCTGCAATTGAACAGAATGTTCTCTTTTATTTTGCTTCAGTCGTGATGAAAGAAGATGGATTGAAAAACAGAATAAAGCAGCTCGACAAAAGAGAAAGAAGGAAGAAACAAGCAGAATAAGACAATTAGTAGGTAAGTATTTGATATCACTATAGGTTAAACAGCTTTTTATTTGCATCTAATTGGGTAGAATGTTCAAACTTTGTGTAGATGTTCGTTAAGTGAATATCTTGACTGACATCGATTGTGAGCAGTGTGCGAAATTAGCACTGGCCGTTACGCCCGTGACCAGTAGATTTTTGATCTGGCCAGTAAAAATTTAAAAAGCACAAGTCCGACTGGCTTGTGGAAAATTTTAAAACTTTCAACCGTTTTTATTCCAAATCACTCGAGAAAGAAAGATAAATATACACCTTTTTCTCAAAATATTATGTGGAAAACACATTTTCCTTTACAAGGTCACGCGATCTGACGTGAAACCGCGAATGGGTTCTTGATTGAAAAATCAGTCATGGCTCGAAATGTTCGTCTATCTTGTCGCCGACAGGCGAATTTTACGTCTGACAGGTAGGAAGAAAAACTATTTTATGTTCAGTAACTGACTTGGGACCACAATACTCATGTCTACGCCACAGACATTTAATTATTCATTTCTAAATGCAAGAATTAAGCTTGGAAATACCGCGAAAAGCCGCCATTTGCATTGTTTCCATTGCGCACTGTCGTACAGTAACTCGCACAGTTGGAAGTAGCCAATTTTATAACAATAAATTTCACACCATCCACACTTGTTTTCATCTGTTTATAGCATTATGAATTATTATGTCTAAATAAATTAAAACGCACCCCACAGTAAATATCTGGAATGGAAATGCACACAGCTCGTTGTCTGGTGTATTTAATCATTTTAAAACAATGTCCATAAATAAAGGCTATGAATAATTTACTAGAAAATTTGACAAAATCAATAATTAGGTTTGGAAAAAATTCCATATATATAAATATAATTTGTAGCGTAAAGATAGACATGGATGTGAGAAAGGAATTCCAGGGGGCATAACCTCTCCTCCGCACGCGATACATGTAAATATGCAGCCATGCACAGCCACAGGTGTTTTGATATTAGATTTATTACGGATATTTAAGAATCCAAATTCTACACCTCAACGGCTAAGTATTTAATTTAGCACGGAAGTTTGGCATCATGATACTTGGTGAAATTTACGTGGATACGGATTATAGAATTGCACGAATATGGGTGTCTTCGAGGCAAAGCAGATTCGCGGACTTTCAATTCCCATAGGTTTCATATTACGATATTTATATGGAACAATGTACGTAGAGAGTGTTTGTGTACCTACATGTATGGATATGTGTGATGTAACTGGTCTTTGACAATTTAGAGTTACAGGTTAGTTACTGAAGCAACATGTATGAAGAAAAGCTACCTGTGCAACTAATGTTTTACAATTTGGTGGAGCCTTTTAATAACCTTGTGTTTCGTGCTAATATTTTCTTTTGTTTTTTAAATTGGCCTATTTCGAATAAATTCATCAACTGCTTTTTTATATACATATTACTACAGGTACAAAGAACTAAAACATTCTTTTCATAAACATTCAACATTGGAAATTTTGGCCGTTTCTTAATAAGAGGTCTATACGGTGCGTGATCCACGACTCCACGTGCTGTATTTGATTCTGAGCGGTAAATTTTACCTGCATGTTATTTTTATAAAATCGTTTTTGACTTACTGGGGGGAGGTGGGGGGTGTTGGATGGCTGAATGGTTAGTGTGCGCGCGCTGTATCATAAAGTCTGTCATTGAGTTGACTGCCGTGGTTTCGAATCCCCGGTTGTACGTGACAAGGAGTAGGGTCGCCTGTCCAACCTCGTGGGTTTTCTCCGGGTCCTCCGGTTTCCTCCCACTGGTAAAGACCCCTATGCGCAAGTGAATTATTGAAATAAAATTAAACCATATGTTAGTCCCGAAATGACCTAGTTTGTGTCGAGTGGACGTTAAGCCCCATTTCTCTCTCTCTCTCTTTTGAAAAACTAGTGTAGAATCCGCGTCCAACAGGAATATGAAAACAATGGATCGAGTAATCCGATACGAAAGTGTTCTTCACTAGATAAATATTGAAGTAGGTAAACAAAAGAGACACTGTTTTCATAGTCAGATATAGACCATAGTTCGAAGAGGTACCCTCTTCTTCTTCAAGGTAATAAATAAAACATTTAAAAACAATCTCTAAGGAAACAGAGGTGATGTCATAGGGAACTATGACGAAGAGTGTGGAACCAGGAGCGCGTGAAATAGGGGGAAAGTCTAGAAAGTGCTGATGGGGAAGATGGTTTGAGGATTATTATTAATACCTAGAGGTTCAAGAGTTTTAAGAGTTCTAATCCAAAATGTTTCTTTATTAAGAAGTGAATGGGTGGTGGCATTATGGAGCTGATCAAAAGCTGTGACTCGGAGATGGTCTATGCTATGATAAGGGGAGTTGAAGTGTCTGGCGATCGGAGAGTCTGCTTGATTGTTAATATCTGATCTATGTCCATATATCCGTTCTTTGAGTTTTTGTTGAGTTTCTCTGACGTATTGTTGGTTGCATTTGGTACAGCTAATTAGGTATATGATCAGGGCTCTTTAAAAGTTGAGTGTGCCTGCGCACACAATTGAAAATGTGCCTGCAGGGTCATACTGAAACACAGGGATGTAGCTAGGATTTGGTGAGTAGTGTAAAAAATATATCTGGCGATCTGAGCGAGGCAAAAAAATTTTTGGGAGGGGGGCGTGGTCTTTTATGAAAATTAAACCCTTCTTGGTGTATTTTCAGAGCATCTGCTGCCTTTTGTATTTGGTTCAGTGCAAATCAAATTTCTATTTATATATTCAAATTTTACCAAATTCACTTAATTTTCATCAATGATACAGGGATCTAAAAACTTTTTGACACCACCCAACCGAGCATAAAATTATCCCGTCCCACTCTGTTTCTCTGGATAGATAAGTTGAGGACCTTTCGGTATTTGTTGTTTTGTTGGGTTTTTTTTCAAATATTACTTTATTACTTTGAGATTAAAAATTAAAACGATTCTTAAAACGGTGACAACAGGTAGATATTGATAATTAAAACACGTTGTATTATTTGACTTGTTTGTAAAGTTGTTGTAGCCTACGTGTGAGAAAGCTCTCATCGCCCTCCTAGTCCTACTCTCGGGCCGTAGCAAATCCACAGTCAACACAGGTAAGAAATAAAATAAGAAACATCGTGAAAATTTGCAGGCACGTGTTGGACAATTACAACATTCAAACCTTTAACATTGGAGTGCCGTAAATTGGTCTGGGTGACCTATTTACGGCAAATAAACAAATATAAAGACCGTAGAATAATTGTAAAATGAATAGACCTAGGCCTACACATCTTCTAAGTATAAATAAACAAAATACCAATACATCTTTCTTTAAACTAATTTGGGATGATAGGGTCTACTACGGCACACAAAAATAAATTATGCCGTGACAGACATGGTTTGCGTACGTCGGCTTTTACCATGGCTTTGCCGTTTAATTGCCGTGGTAAATTTCGAGCGCCGAGTTTGTGTACAGAGAAGGATTAAGGGGTTTAAATACGACTGGGCAGCTTTCTTCGATTTTTCTTTGTGCTGGGCAGCAAAAAATAGTGCCGGGCGCAGGCGCCACCCGGCTTGGCTACATCTTTAAAAATGTGCCTGCAAAAAAGTTTTTTTTAAAGCAAATGTGCCTGCGCACGGAAATATCGATGCCTGTATATGATATTACAAGAGTTACAGTCGAGACGTTTCCGAATTACGAATTGTTTCTTGGTGCAGTTACTCGTAATAGTGTTGGTTTCTTGACAGTGCCGAGTACATGTAATACATTTTTTACTGCATTTGTAAAATCCCGGTGTTTCTGGAGCTTTAGGTATTTTAGACTTGACCAATGTGTCGCCCAAGTTGCGAGGTCTTTTATACACAACGACAGGAGGGTTGGGTATAACAGTCTTACAATGATTAGATTTGTGAAGAATAGGCATGTATCTTTGTATAATTTCTCCAATGTTTGGGAGTCTTGGATTGAAGGGAATAACAAATGGGATTCGGTTATCTTTCTTCTTTTGACGTTGTTGTAGAGCATCTGAGCATGAGAGATTCTAGTGGCTTTCTTGATAGCATCAGTTATAACATTTCTTTTGCGCAGATAGATGCGTAGTTCATCTAAGCGATTGTTAAGGAATGCGGGTAATGAACAGATTCGTCTGAGGCGAAAAGCGAGACTGTAAGGTAGACTACGTTTAGTATGGTGAGGGTGGCAAGATCCCCAATGTAGATATTGGTGAGTGTCAGTGGTCTTAGAGAATAGATCAGTTTCTAAGCGGTCATTGATTTTGTGAATTGAAATGTCCAGGAAGCTAATCAAATCTCTTGAGTGGTTACATGTGAACTTGATAGTCGGGTGGGCGGAGTTCATATATTCGATAAATTTGAGAAGTTTAGTTTCTCTGTGGCGCCAAATAAAAAATATATCATCTATTTATTGTTTCCAAAAGTGTGGCTGTTCAAGAGGATTATAGTTCTTTAGAAGTTCTTTTTCAAGACTGCCCATAAACAAACAAGCGTAGTTGGGGGCCATTCTTGTACCCATTGCTGTTCCATGTTGTTGTATGTAGTGTGTGTCGTTAAATACAAAGTTGTTCAGAGTAAGTACAAGATGCATAAGTTTGCAAAGGAAGGAGGTAGACGGTTTACTGTCAGCTGGTCTGCTCTCCAAAAATGCTTTACAGCTATCTATGCCTTCTTCATGAGGTATATTTGTATAAAGTGATTTAACATCCATGGTACATAACAGATCTTCTTCGCCTGGTGGTTCTGTATAGAGTTAATAACATCAATATGTCGTAAAAAATCCATATCATCTTTAACAAAGGATTGCAGACAAGGAACAAATGGTTTTAAGTTGTGATCTACGAAAGCTGATATATATTCAGTGGGTGTATCGTTGCAGCCAATAATAGGGCGTCCTGGATGATCTGGTTTGTGTACTTTGGATTTAGTGTAGAATCGAACAGGTTGAGGTTTCTTGTTGATAAGTAGGTCAGCCATGTCGTT